CCTCCACATGCCTCGTAGTCCTCGTCCTCTTCCTCTTCCTTTCCGGCGCGGCCACCATCATCATCATCATCATCATCACCTCCTCGACGACTTCTTCTTATTCTTCTTTTTTTTTTTTCATCATCATCATCACCATCATCGTAGTTGTCACACGTCGTCGTCGTCCTCATCCTCCATGATGGTGTGGTTGTTGTTCGTCCACGACGATGACGACGACGACAACAAGAAGAACAAGATGATGCAGAAGATCGAGGACGAAGGAGGAGGAGGAGGAGGAGGAGGAGGAGGAGGAGGAGGAGTTTGGAGGCAGGGAACTGAGATAGACTTTTCAGATTGAAAGCCAACAAGCGCTTGTCAGTCTCAGCCTTGAAATTGCAGATTTACTGCAGGTGAATTCGATGTTTGGCATTTCTCTCTTCATTGCTTTCTGTTTGCGGAGTGTTCGCAACATTTCTTTGTCCTGTTTCGCCAGATTGTGCATGAAGAAACATTCTTGTACTCAAAATGCAAGAGAAGTTTGATGTCCATGTTGCACAACGAAGGAAATGAGAAGGATGTAACATATCACAAGGGTGTGTGTGTCAAGACAAGATTCTTGTTGATACTATGTGTCACACGGTTCAGGGCATTGAGGTGACATGGCTTATGTTTGCTTCCCTTGTCAGGAGTTGGAGCACAGTTACTACACCACACCGAGCTTCGATTGATGTTTTCAACATTTTATTTCTGTATGTTTAGCTAATCTGGTAGAAACAATAACGTCACTGTCTGAAATCTCATTTCAGTTACTGTCCTAGAGACACGTTGCTTCTTGCAACATTTTCGATTCCCTCTCCTCTCCTCTCCTCTCCTCTCCTCTCCTCTCCTCTCCTGACCTCTCCTCTCCTCTCCTCGCCCGGTGGAGGGAGGAAAAGTCAATAGCGAGCCGGCAGCTTCAGATGTAAACAATTCCCAAGTACTTCCTGCTCGTGCTCCCTGACGCCTCCTCCTCAGCCCCGCTAGTCCCCGACATGTCCGTCCTGGAAGAGGAGGACGAGGAGGTCTGGCTGAGGCCCCGCCTCTCCTCCCCCGCCTTCTCTTGGCCGTAGCTCTTGAGCCACTCCACGAATTGGTCCGAGGACGCGCTCCTGAAGACTGAGTGGTAGGGCGAGCCATACCCGTTGAACAGCTCCTTGCTCAGCCTCTGTCCCACCGTGCTGCTCTTCCTCCAGAACGAGCATCCTGGCGCCGAGTCCTGGTGGGCCGCCCAAGGGTCGTCCTCCTCCTCCCAGTCCGCAAGTTCCAGCCCGCAGTAGACGCAGATCACTCGATCCCCAGCCCCCTGCTCAGGCGCGAACACGAAGCCGGCGTTGGCCATCTTGTCGGAGCAGAGCTTCGGGTTGTGCGAGTGCGGCCACCTGCCGGCCGTGACAAACGTCATCGTCCTCCCCTCCACTGTCCTCAGACTGTCCACGTCCTCCCCAAACTGCTGCCGGATGAGCGGGGAGATACTGTCCCTGCTCGCTGTGCTCGATCTCGACATCATGCCATCCAGGCTCTCGCCCCCCGAGCTGCCGCGGCTCCCTGCCCCCACCGAGGAGAGCATGTCTGCGGGGTGGAAAAGGGGTGAGTCCGAGCCCCCCCTCGGCGCCTCCTCGTGCTCCTGCCAGCTTCGATTCCTTGTCTCGTTCCTCTGCGGCGGTGAAGGCTGTAGGATCGCATGCTCCTGCGCCTTCATGTATGCCGTCTGCTTCATCAAAAACTCTCCCAGTAGCACGACTCCACGGACCTGACACCACCGTCAGCCGCTGCACCTGCCCCTCAGCACGTCACAGACCATGTAGACGGGCCTCGGAGGAGAGTTGGGGGAGGCTACGAGGAGAGAAACGCGCGAGAAGGGAGTTCCTGGCGTCCCGCATATTAGCCTCTCACAGAGAAAACTCGACTTGGCTGACCTGACAGGAGCGATCCAACGTCCAAACTATCTCCCTCCCGAGCTACGTCATGCCCGTCGATCTGTACAAGGGAGTCAGCCCTCCCTCCCCATGCTTGCTGCATGCCGCAGCGCAGCCAGGAGCCAACCTTGAGGATGGAGTCTCCGACTTTCAGCTTCCCGCTCGTGGCCGAAGGACCTCCGGGCTGGAGTCTCTTCACCTGCATTATCTCAGGTACACTTGACCCCAGTGACCTCCTGCTCTACCTCCAGCCTGCGCTCGTCCGAGACGACTTCCACACCCACCCCAACTCGCCCCTCGCTCAGTCTTTCGGGCATGTGGACCTGGTCGGAAGGCGTCAAGAAAAGCGCTAGAGAGCAAGGAAGCGAGTCAACCGTCGGCTGTCGAATCAAGGCTACCACCTTCTCCACCCAGGCTGCACAAGACGCAAGCTTCAGTCCACCATGCGTGACAGTAGGACATGATCCTACTTTCTCTGCCCTCAAGGAACGATCTGAACCTTATCATCAGCGTGATGGGCATACCCTCGGGCCCGACAATCCGTTTGGCCTGCCCCTCGTCACTCCCCGTCGCCTCCCCGTCGCCTCCCCTTACCACTTCCTCCGGCGTCTCGCCAACCACGCTCACCCCATCCACTTGCAACAGGATGTCATCGCACGCCTGAGAAAAGTCGATCAGGCCTACACACCCCTCCCCCGCCTCCTACTTACAATCTCACAGGAGAACGCTGCCGGACCCCCGGCCACAACTTTCCGAATGATCAGCTCCCCCCTGTGCCTCCATATCAGCACGCGACTTCGCCTCTTCTCGCACTTCACCAGTCGTTCACGTTGATACTGCATCCTATCCCGCACATCCTCGTCCCTGAAGTCGGTGGTGATGCCTGCGGCTCTTGTCACTGTAACCCCCAAGAGGCAGCAGAGTCAGGCACCTGGCATGACCACATGGAAGCGCCGCCCATTGGAGTTTGAGGAGATTCCATTGCTGCGTCGGGTTGTCTTGCGATGCAGATGAGTTCTAAGGTATCCTTATCTACTTGCTGTTCCCCAGATCATGAGTTCCCCACTGCATGTCACGAATGGTGCGATTCCTGATCAGAGCAGTCAGGACGAAGGTCAACAGAGCTGGGGAGCAGCTGTTGTATGGCTAACGGTCAAGCGTGATTGGTATATTTCTAAGTTTGTGAGGTACGATATTGACAATATGATGATCAGGCCGATGATAGAGTATCTAAGATCGCAACAGAGTACACAGTCCCAACAAAAAGCATAACACGACAGAGAAACAAGAACGGATATCATGCCAAGCTCATAGAATATTTCTACTTGTAGCACGGTGATGCAATGAGGGCCTGAAATCCTACAACTTTTCGATCTAGGAGCACACACTGACAACTTAACAAATCCCACAACACAACCACTCATCATGAAATGCAGCAGCATCAATGGCTCATGTGAACATCAAGAGCGTGGCATGAACCTATTCTGGCAGCGACATCATACTCTTCGGCATGCTTTCCTCACTAGCTCTCGCAACGAGCTGCCATATCTACTTGTACATATGTCGGCATCCGGCGGCCCATCATCACGGCATGGTGAGAGGTCAGCTGTTTGGGATAGTGGTCGAAGTGGGCTCACAGGGTGGGGTGGTCAGAGAATCCAGTGGGTGGGGAGAGGTAGATGGTGGGTGGTCCATGGTGTCTCAAGAAAAAAAAACTTACTGCGACTAGGTACCGGTACTAAAGTAGATCTTTTAGTATCAAATGAAGGGTAGTGGTACAAAGTCAACATGACTGAAACGGTGAGAACCATAAAAATAACCGGTGCGGAAAATGTTGTAGGGGTGGGGGTGGTCAGAACTGTACGTAGTTGGAGGGTAGGCTCTGGAAGTAGGATAGGGATGGAGGTTATGAAGGCCTAGTGAAAAGGCTACTTGCTAGGGGGTGGGGGTAGGGGTGGGAAGGTGTGAACGAGCAGGGGTGGGGTGGTGATAGAAATTTCTATGGGGTAGGGCTACTGAAGTATTCCAAATAATCCAAAACTTTCATTTTGATTCAAATAGTTTTCAAATATAGGAGAAACTATTCAGAAAAACGTAATACTCGTTGTTTCGAGCAGGGGTAAAAGTGTCATAAGGAGGGGTAAACATTTCAAAGATCTCAAGGTGGGTAGGGTGGTGGAGTACTCCAAGGTCTATGGGTACTGCCCTTTGGATCATGAGGGTGGGTACTCTCCAAAAGTGAATCTGAGTAGTGAACGCTCAAGTACCGGTACAAGAATATGGGAGGAGGGTGGGTCCATGGGCAGATGGTTGTCTACCGGGTAGGGTGGGGTACACTGACCTTGGTTTCGACACCGGTGCTCAGGGGTCTATTAAAAGTCTCAACTTTTCCCGAATGAAGAGTTGCACCACCCCCTCCCCCCTATATCAAAAACCCCTACCCCCACGTATGTCTCATTTTGCACCGAATTGACTACCGGTGTCAAAAGTAGTGGTTTCACAGCAGAGGGGGTAGTGGTGGGGTGGCATGGGCACCCCTCGGAACTGAAGAGGTACCAAATTCTTTATATATATTTTAATTCCTTTTAAAATATTTATCCATTCCCGCAGCCTACAATGGACCAGCCTGGTTGTGACTCGTTGAGATATGGTGAGGAACTGGTGGGTGGGGAATCGGCAAATTTGGCTCAATATCACAAAACAATCGAAATAATGAGATTCAATTTCAATAATAATGTTCCTTTTTCGGTTTACACTATCAGCAATTCAAACCGAGTGCCTTCCCCTGGACAGTGGGGTACTGAGTGTCACCAGTGGTCCTGAAAATGGCAGCACTTTAAGTCCAAGGGTCATAGCAACCTTTGCGAACCGCTTCGTTCACAGTCATTACTACTACTACAATAGTAGTACAGTTACTACTGCCTGGAGGTGACCCGGGTAGTAAAACTCCAGCCCGTGACTCGAGTCCTTACAGCCCGGGCTGTTCACGAGCCTCGGAGTCAATCATCAGTGACTCAGTTACCATTGCCACCGTGGCACTGGCCCGACTCTCGAGCCTCCGGCGAGCCTCCAGGCTCGGACGCTCACAGCCTAGTCACTCGGAGGCATCAGGGAGCCTCGGAGTCCGGCGGGAGTCCGGGTCACCGGCGCCGGGCCGGGGCCGCTCAGCACGCCGGTGACCGGCCCCCGGCGCCGCGCGGGCCGCATGATGCCGCTGAGTGCCGCCGCCCGGGCGGACGGCAGCCCGGGCGTGGCACGGTGGATCGGACCGTACTACGGTATCGGACCGTCCGATCCGTGGCATCCCCGAGTCCGGTGGACCGTGCCGGCGACCGGTCGGGTGACCGTACCGGCCCGGGTGGCATGCCGCGCCCGGCCGCCGGCGCGGTGACCCCCCGATGATCGGCCGGGCCCGGCGGCTCAGGCTGGTAGTAAGCGGCTACCGTAGTGACCGTACTACTAGGCTGGGCGGCCGTTCCGGGACGCACCGTGCGGTACGGCGGCGTCTGACTCAGTGAATCGGAGCGGCCGCTCGCCGGGGAGTCCGGAGTCCCCGGCAGTGAGTCCACCGTGGCACGCGGCCCGGCGCGGCCGCGCCGCCGGTTCAATACGCCGGTTAAGCGGGCCTAGGCTCAGTGACCGTGGCGCCGCGGCCCGCGACCCCCGGACTCCGGCGCAGTCACTGGTCATTCCGCTAGTACCGTACGGTGATCGGACCGTCCGAGTACCGTACGGAGCCGGGCCCCGGCGGCCCGGCCGCTCAGTGACTAGCGAGGGCCGGCCCGGCCGCACACGGAGTACGGTACGGTTGCCGGGCGGCCCGGCCCGGCACACTAGTTACGGTTGCCGGGCCGGGACGCCCCGCCGCCGGCCCTCACCGGCCGCCCCGGCCGCCCGGCGGCCCGGCGGCGCATGCCGTTCACACGGCCATATGCAGGCTCCGAGTCTAGCAAAATTGGTCTTTTTTTTTCTTGCAACTGACGGTGGCCGCGGCGGCCGGCCCTGACTCGTGACGTCCGACCGCACTTCAGCGGCTGGCCCGCCCGGCCGGGGCCGGCCCCGGCCGGGCCGGGGCGACCGTCCGACTGATTCAATCCCGATACTGGCCGCGGCCCGCCGCAGTCCGATCGGACCGTCAGTCAAAATTTGAAACTCTTAAACATTAGGTACCAGGAAACTTTCCTTTACAAATTATAAAGCGAAAACTCCAGAGGGTCAACGGCTGAGATGGCGGAGGCGAAGGCAGTGGGAGGGAGCAGCGGCATGGCAGTATGGCAGCGCGGTGAACTGTAGGAAGCAGTAGAGGAGGAAGACGGAACCCAGTTCCAGCTAGGAAGCGATACTCGTAAGGGGCGCACCCACACTATCTGCTAGCATCTTGCCACGGGAAGTAAGGAGGGAGGGAACAGAACGGCGGTGAAAAAAACCCTGCAAACCGTCAGGAAGAAGGGCAAGGCCGTTCCTCATACTCAATCCCAACCTCTTGCAGTGTAGTGAAGTTGCTGAGCCCGTGCTGCCGTGATGTCTGACGCGCACGTCGAAAACACGGACATATCGTCTAGCCCTGCGTTCCATGCATTGAACGACCTGTTCAACGATGGTACGCTGACACAGGCCCAAGTCGACTTCTACAAGAGCAAGTATGCTAAGCTGCATGAAGAGATTCTCAAGATCTACCAGAACGAGAAGACGCTGCTTCCCAAGGCTAAGGAGCTGAATGAAGAGCTGCGGAAGAAGAGGCTCGAAGCGGAGGAAATCATGGGGAAGGACCGGGAGGCGCACGAGGAGCTGGAGAGAACGAGGACGGAGTTCGCAAAGGCAGAGGCTGAAGTGGTCCTGTGCGAGGAGAGGGACGCGATGCTGACGCTGGAGATCGCGGAGCTGCAGAAGCAGAAGGAGGAGATAGCACAGGAGAAGGAGACGCGGGAAAGGGAGGCCATGGAGGCGTTGCGGCCGCGGATCGAGGGGCTGGAGCAGCACATCTCGCAGCTGACGTCGGAGATCGAAGAGTCGAGCAAGCTTGCGCAGAAGCTGAAGGAGGAGAAGGCGGAGCTGGCTGAGAGGGCGTCGGGGCTCCAGGAGTCGATCACGCAGCTGTCGGCGGACGTGGAGAACGAAAGGGCGGTGATGATGAAGGTGAGGGGGGAGCCGTCGAAGATCAAGAAGCAGGCGGACCTGACAGAGAGCTCGCTGAACACGGTGACGGCTGAGCTGAAGTCAGTGAACTCAGTGATGGAGGAGCTTGACAAGACGATCAAGGAGCAGGCGGCGAAGAGAAAGACGCTCGAGGACGACAGAGACGAGCTGAGCCTTCTCAAGAGCAGGCACAACGACTCGATCGAGCAGAAGATGAGGATCAAGCAGGAGCAGGAGCGAGACCTGGCTGAGCAGCTGAGCAGGAGGGACCACATCCAGGAGGAGGCGCTGCAGCAGGACATTACCATGCGGGCGCTGCAGATGGAGCAGAAGAGGGTCGGGGACTCGGTCTACAGGATGCAGCGAGAGAAGGAGGAGACGGTAAAGCTCTTTCGCAAGGCCGAGCTGACGCTTGCGGCGTCCAAGGGGCTGGTGCCGAACCTCAAGTTCCAGCTGCAGGACTACCAGAGGTTGCTTGCCAACCAGCACAAGGAAAAGCGCGATCAGCTGAAGAGGCTGGAGGAGCTGAACAGAGACATTGACATCTTCATCAACGACTTTCTACAGGAGGAGGGGCTCGAGAAGGAGAAGGCAGCCGCCCTCGCCGCCCTCCTGCGCGAGAACAAGGAGCTCGAGGCCGAGTTTTCAATGCTCATGCAGCAGCAGCAGGTGATGTTTGCCCCCCCCCTTCCCTCTTGCTCCCTGCTCCCTGCTCCCTGCTCCCTGCTCCCTGCTCCCTGCTCCCTGCTCCCTGCTCCCTGCTCCCTGCTCCCTCCTGCTCCCTGCTCGTGTTGCTCCCATTCTTCTGCTTCCTTTCCCTGCATGTCACGTCCTTACACGCCCATCCTCCTCGTCTGGGTCTCCCTCCCTCCCTCCCTCCCTCCCTCTCCTCTCCTCACTGTCATTCGCAGTCGCTGGATCGTGAGACCTTCGAGCTGGGAGCCAAGAGGGATAGCAAGGCGCGGGAGTACGCCAAGGCAGTGACGAGCAGGAAGGAGACAGAGGAGGAGATCAAAGTGAAGGACATCATCATCCTCGACCTCTCCAAGAGGTCGCAGAACCTCGCACAGCAGATCAAGGAGCTCAAGGACCTCTACGAGCTTGTCAAGAACGAGAAGAACAAGACTGTCAACCTCATCCAGACCAGCCAGCAGGCGCTGGCGGAGATGAAGGAGAAGGTTGGGATCCTGCAGAACGAAATCGAGATCCTCCAGAGCGAGACTTCGTCCAAGGACAAGGCTCTGACGGTAGAGCGGCAGGCGCTGGCGAAGGCGCTGGGGGAGAGGGACGCGGTCCGGTCGGAGGTGAACAAGTTGCTGTTCCTGTACAAGGACAAGCAGCAGACGGTGGACCAGAAGATATCAGAGATCGATAAGCTGAACAGCATCATTAACGTGGTCGAGAAGGACATGGTGAGGCTGAAGAAGCAGTACGAGCAGGCGGTGGAGGAGAGGAACTACACTGGCATCCAGCTCATCGACAGGAACGACGAGCTCTGCATCCTCTACGAAAAGAGCAACATCCAGGAGCAGATCCTGCGCAACGGTGAGCTCGAGCTCAACCAGAGGGAAGAAGAGCTGAGGGTTCTCGCCCTGGAGCTGGGCAAGTGCGAGTGGATGTACAGCGTCACTACCAAGCTGCTCCCGCAGCTCCCGCGGTACAGGAAGGAGATCGAGGCTCTGAGGCAGCTGCTGGAGCAGGAGAGGAAAGAAGCGAGGAACTTAGCTACGAGCTCGAGTCTCCGAGCAACGAGTCGCGCTACCGGCTGCTGCAGGGCAAGGACCTCAGCATCGATGAGATGCAGAAGAAAATAACGCACCTGGAGGATCGGCTCAACCTGAAGAAGGAGCAGCTGCTGGAGAAGGAGCTGGTGCTGGAGGAGGTAGGAGCACTGTCTGAGAGGCTGCGAAATCAGGCGGTGGAGGGGAGGGAGGAGACGTTGGATATCGGTGAGTCGTTAGCCTTGTCTGATTCATGGTTGCCTCTCTCCTCTGCTCTGCTCTGCTCTGCTCTGCTCTGCTCTGCTCTGCTCTGCTCTGCTCTGCTCTGCTCTGCTCTGCTCTGCTCTGCTCTGCTCTCCTCTCCTCTCCTCTCCTCTCCTCTCTCTCTCTCTCTCTCTCTCTCTCTCTCTCTCTCTC